GCCTAAGCACCGGAGCTTTAGGGAGCAAAACCGCCACTTCTTCTTCGGAAAGTTCAAAAAGCGAAATGGCCTGTTCAAGGTTTCCTTTACCAGAGGACACAAGCTTAGCAAGCACGGAATGCCAACGTTTCCGCTTGTCCTTCCCGCAACAAGGCTCCCTGAAGTCAGCAGGACCACCCAACCCTCTACACTTGGAGCACGTAAGCAAGAGGCAAGAGTCCTGACCACGCCTGTCCTTAGCGGGATCAAGTTTGAAAGTGGCATACGCAAGATCGTGGCCCTTCCAATCAGAGATCTCAGCAAGGGCTTCTTCCTGGCGCTTACGTTTGACAGCCCCAGCGTGCTTGTCCCTGGCCGTCATTCTTAGCCTGAGCTCCGGGTCCTCCCTTTGCTTACTTCTGTAGGAATCAGTAGGGGAAATACCGGGGTGATGGTCAGCAAAATGCTTCTTTATGCTCAACTCTTTAGCACACTGGCTAGGAAGAACAGGAAGAGCCATTCCACACTGCCAACAAACCCATTCCCTCAAGATAACAGGCAACGAAGAGGAAGCGTCAAGCCTACCCTGGGCCTGACAACGTACTTGCACACAGGACAGACCCAAGACTGCTCAGCTTGAAACTCAGGCTTCCACCCCGTATGCGCTCGCCTGGGGTACGGACAGGTGTCAGCATCAAAGGAAACGGCCTCTTCGATGATATCACCCTGTCCGTCGCTACCTCTAATAGGCGCCACACTAGCAGCCGTAGCTGCCTCAGTGACCCGCTCCTTAACTGAAGGCGTCCTACGAGGCCTCCAACCTTCAAAAAGGGGTTTTAGCAGGCAACCAGCTTTGTCCCGTCAAAGAACTACCAGCTTACAACGCTTCTTGGGGCTTGGCGTGTGAACCGGACGCCAAGAAGCAAGGTCCTCACTGAAAGCCTGCGAGTCTGCGTTAGTACGCGCCGGGCCCTCCCAACTAGAACTACTATTCATGGCAGAGTTGGCCCTTACCAAGAACAAGCAAAGACCCAAGTGTGAAAGCATCAGGGTCCAGTCCTGCAGCCTCGGTCGAAAATTGCTACAGAGCCCTGTGGAAAAGTCAACAGGCAACCTATGGGAAAAGACTAAACAGTGAGAAAAAGACGTGGGGAAACCTACGTCCACAGGCAAAAGAAAGGAGGATGGGGCAGTAAAAATAGGTAAACCCACAAAAACTGCAGACCCTTCCCAGCAACAGTTGTACTTCACCGGGTTCGCTTCCCTTGCTCCGCACAACCAGACACCAAGGCAGAACCATGCCATGGCTGGAGCACTACACGGAAGCCTGATGGGCAGTGGTTTAATGCATCCAAGTCACGCGACGTGTCGTCAAGTGGCTTGCCCACTCCCAACGACACTGACAAAAGGACGACCAAGAAAAGAGACCGCCAGTAAACCCAACAGCCTGCGGCAGTGTTTCTTTTGTCTTCTGCTGCGGCCGCGAGAGACCTGCAGCAGGTGGCCGCCCTCAGGCAACCTGCGCTGGGGAGCCTGGGGGCTGCTGACTGCGCTGGCCTAGTCGGCCCCATCGGTTGGCCCAAATGAGCTCACAAATGCTACTCATGCGCTGCAGGACTTGTGCATCCTGATGGGCGCTAGCTAATGGCCACCCGAACCTTCGCTGCAAGGGATCTTCGGGGGGATCACGTGTGAAGCCCTCAGGCCTGCAGGGACAGTCCCAAAAAATTTGCTGAAAACTGTCGAAAGAGGCCTCGCAAAGAAAACAAAGCCCTTCCTGATCCTGACGATTAGGGGGCGGGCGCCGGGCGTCAGCACAGCTCCAAGCAAAACTGCTTTCAACGGGCCTGCGGAATCGTAAAAGATTTTCCTAACATGCTGCACACGAGCAACCTGTAGTCACACGCCTGCATGTCTGCAGGTGCCCGGTGCCCACTTTCAAGGAACACGTGAAAGCAACACCATCTCCAACCCTCTCTTAGCACATGAGCCAAGCGGCCTCTGAGGGTGCACAGGTCACGCCCTTTGCGCTTACTCTTAGACTTGTTAGCAGCCAACCTGCTATCGGCACGAAGTCTGAGTTTAGCACGTAAGGCATCTTTGCTTTCTTTGAGCTGTTGCTGACCACCTTTCCTGAAATCAGCCCATCGAGAAGCGTACATTTGCGCACGAGTCAAACCAGGGTGAGCAGTCTGACGATGACGCTCGATGGCACAATCTCTGGCCCAAAGGCCAGCGTAAGAATCCTCAAACAAAGGAAGGCCAGCCGAACAACCAGGAACCCCGCAAGTCCAACTACGCGATTCAGAAGGCAAAGCCGGACTGGCATCGATAATCTCAATACGTTTGGCGAGAGTACCAGCTTTTGAAGTGTCCTCACCGGCATGGCGGTTAGCAAGGTGATTGGCGCGCTTACACGACAACTTCCTGCCTTCCGAAGGGCCCTCACAACGATGACTGCAGATTCCACCTCCAGCAAGCGGCATTTTACAAGTACAAACCCGCAACTCAACTTTAGGCTTAGGCTTGCGAACTTTTACCTCTTCAGACGCAAGAAACAGAGGAACGGGCGGAGCCTGTTTACCCAACAACTTGCGGCGTTTGGGACCAACAACAGAATGATCAACAGTCGCAGCAACCGAAGTAGCTCTCAGAGAGCCAGGTGTACCAGGAAGCAGCCATTTCCTGCCAAACCAGGCCGGGCCGTGCTGAGCCAGGAAGACCCACAACTCACGACTGCTTTCCTCGTTGCGGACAACAGCTGGGTCTTGTCGGGGTTTTCTTGAAGCCCCACAGTTCTGCTGAAGTGAAACCACCAGACTAAGGCCGAAACAAGAGACTAGGGCTTGTCAGCGACCCATGTGCGGTCGTACAGACGACGTGCCGAGAGACAGCGTGTCCTTGCAGGAACTTTCCACGAACTTGCTGAGTGCACATTTGTTAAGACACAGCAAGAAGTTTGTGCCTTCGACCCTCAGCAGACTGGGCGTCCTAGACTTCTTTTTGTCAAGCACTGTCCGCCAATCCTGCCCATCCCCCGTCCAGAGAGAGAGGGTCTATTTTGCGATGCCAGCTCCGCGAATGGGCGTGCCAATGGTACTCCAGAAGCTCCAAGGCAAAACAAATCCAAACGCGTTGGTCAGCAGGGAGAGCCGTGCTAGCCTCAACAACCTCTGAAGTGTGACCCAGGCATGCCACCAAACCGCGAGCAAGTTTGCTCTGCAGACTTGTTGTCCTAGCCTTACGAAGAAGGCAACACGTGCCGGGCACGGTGGCCTTGCGCACAACGACACGGCACAAAAGGCATGCTCACGCGGCCTGCGATCAGCCTTACGCTTCTAGCACTGCCTTAGGCAGGGGCCCAGTGGTCTCGTGCGCCTCTTGAAGCTGACCTGGTGGCGAGGATAAGCAGCTCTGGTTCCGCCCTGTAGCTGCTCACGCGACCCAGCATGGCAAGCGGCAGCGCTGTTTGTGGCACTCGGCAGCCAACGTGGCACGTGCGCGGGCTGTGTCTCGGCATTTTCCCCTGGCAGGGAAAGGAGGGACCTGAAGCTAGACCTGCACATCAGGGTAGCCAGAGGCATCGCTGCTTGAAACACATGCGGAACCTGGGAGCTGTCAGCAGTTTTTCCGGGCTTTTAGGGGTTAGGGGTTTTAAGGCTTAGGGTTTCTTTGGTTAAGGGCTTTACGGCTTTGGGTTTTTGAGGTTTAGGGTGTTCAGCGTTTCTTGGGTTTGTATCTTTTGTCAAGTTTACGGCTTTCGGTATGAAGTTTTCTGGGCTTAGCGTTTTTATGGCTTCGGTTTTCTATGGTTTACTTTTTTGAAGCCCCTCTTTCACTGTGCGGCGAAATGCCAACAGGCCAGGTTAACGCTTTTGAGTGTCTAGGGCTTTTAGGCTTTTAAGAGTTTAGGGGTTAGGGTCTTTAGGGTTGTTAGGGCCTTTAGGGCTGTTCGGGTTCAGTGTTTTCAGGGTTTCTACGGTTTTTAGGTTTATAGCTTTTGAGGTTTGGGATTTTGAGAGCTTTAGGTGTTTATGGCGTTTAGGGTTTAGGGTTTTTGGTGGTTTTTGTGTTTTCTTTCAACATTAAGGCTTAGGGTTTAGGGCTGAGGGTTAAGGGCCTTTAGGGTTTTAGGGCTTTGAGAGTTTTTGGGTTTAGGATGCTTACTTTTCTGAGCCTAAGGCAAATGACAGGGTTTCCTGGCAGAAGCTCCAAAAGCACTGCCCCTGCGCAGGGATAGCGATGGCGCGGGCTCGGGCCGTAATGGTGCCACTCCCTCTACAGTTGACAAGCAGCAGCTGCAGGCTTAAAATCTGTTGAAAGCATTTTGCTTTCTACGACTACCCAGCACTCCTTTGTTACAAGTATGCTTGACTACGCTAGTTCGCGGCTAGTCCAATTGCTAGATACGATGTTTAGTCCGTCGACTGAAATCGGGGTTATTCTGAAGGTCTAAAGAAGGGACCATTGGGAATACACCTCCTTGAAAGGAAATCCTAACCAAACAGGGAACCTACCTTATGCCCCAATTGTATTTTGAGCAACTACCAGATCTCCGTGGCTACTGTCTCCGCCAGGAACACACCACCTTTGCTTAAAATTGAGCCCTCACGATAAAAACCCTAAAATAGATGAAAAGGATGGATGGTGGTTTCCCAAACTTAGGGGTCCTCTTGTTTTGGAAACTACCACATAGATTTGAGACACCTCGGTGAGTCCATGACTTGCTCTTTGTTAGCTAGGAATGAAGGAAGGGATCCTTGTAGTAGTCCCCATATAACTCATTATAGTAGTTGGCATGTTCTTTTCCATTCCTTCATTCCCAGCCAAACCAAAGGTACTACATACCCCTAGAATCTAGTAGCTTCCATTTCATTGTCCGTTGTCTTTTTCATTTGATTTTCCTTCATTTATTGGATCAAAATTGGTAAATATGATACCACCTAATGTAGCCCTCCATTTCATTGTCCATGATCTTTTCCATTTGATTTTCTATTATTGGAGCTACATTGGTAAATATACTACCACCCTGAGCGTCTGTAGCCTAAGCTCTCCTGCCGCGTTTGGACCAAGGACTGGACGACCATCTCGTGATCGCTCTCCGCTGCTTTGATAGCGCTGTTACAGAAAACACCAGTCATTACCTGATGCGGCATAATCATCATGTTCATTACGTCCATGGCTGTGGGGAACAGGGGCCAAAGGAATACAAACTTTAAGCTGCAACTGACAAGAAAAGAAGAGTAGGTAGTGTAGCCAAGGTGTGTAGCGATGACATTGCTGTGCACCCATGACCCATGTCCCCAGGCACCAGCTGCCCATGTCATCGCACAACTAAATCTGCACGAAGTGCACTTGAAACTTGCCCTAGTTATCTGTGGCCAAGTTGCGTTCAATACTGCAAAGCTGCCTGGGCTGCACATTACGCACATGGTAAGCTGCTAGCTTCCCGCTGAGTAAAGCTCCACTGAACACTGAAAGCCAAGTTGCAGAAGGCGATGTAGAATCGATAGATAATTGCCCAGAATTCGCCGAACGAGTTCATGCCAACCAACAAGTCGTCAGGGTTCTTCCATGTTACGCCATTGGAGATCGTTCTGAACAACGTCACGGTGGAATGATACAACGTTCCGAAGTATTCGGCCACCGTCTCGCCACTTCTGTTCTGAGGGAGCGGTATCTCCATCGCTTCGGCTTCAATGACCGCATCCAAAACGGCATCTGTCAACAAGATGCCCCAAATGTAGATAATCAGCCCAAGAAGGATCATGGCCCAAACCAGCGACCTCAAGGTGCCTACCAGCGAGTGGACAAGGGTCCGCAATGAACGGAAGAACTTCACCTTAGGTTGCAGGACGTCCAATCCGCAGGGGGGACCTCGCCACTTGAAGCTGAGACACTACTCGTATGATGCGCACCACGCGAAAGAGCCGGCCCACTCGGAGCAGGCGCATGAGCCGCAAGTTGCTGTTGGCCCGGCTAGTGCTGTCTCCCGGGTTTGTCAAGTCCACAAGGAGCTCCACCCATGAAGAAGTCACCACAAAGACGTCAAGCCTAGGGCTTGCATTCACGGCCACGGGCCAGGCGATGCAACAACTGACACACGCGACATACGCGACCACCCGTCGTCTAAGTGTCATCATGCAAAACCCAAACTCCTGCATCTGTGCTTCTGCCTCACACACGGTAGCCACAGGTGTCATCCTTATCCCTAAGGATACTGCCAGGAAGCCAGTTCCAGGCCCAATCTTCAGAACACATGTACGTCCGCAAGCCCTCTGCCAGCAGGTGAAGGCAGACCTGCAGGGTTTTGCTATTCGTGGGCAAGAAGGCATCTCAAAGATCGAACCCCCCAATGGCGACAATGATGCTTGCTACGGCCCCTGAGCCAGCCTCAGCAGTGAACAGAATTGCATAAACAAGGTGCAAAGCCATGAATCCGGCGCCGGATTCGTAGTTCCTGTTGATGGCCTGATACTCTAGCTGCACTCCTAGGTACACAGAGTTGGAGACCACGACCAAGGCAAAGAACATGTGCGAGACCTCCACAAATCAGATTCTCAAACTGTGCTGAAAGCTCATGCCATCTCATGCCCATAGCCCTACGAGCACTCTCAGATGACAAGACCCAAATGCAAGAATGAGAACTGCAGCCGCAGCAAAGACACGACAGGCAACAAGAAACCTCAAGACACGCAGAAAAACAAAGGCCTGGGAGGCGAGGATTCGCGCTGCCACCCGATTGCATTGCGCAGAGAAGCCCCGGATTTCCTCCGGTTCTTTGACAGTCCTAAGCGCGTTTGACTGCACGAGGTTGCGATGTCCAAAAGACTTTGATACCAACACGCCGCATGCCTTCCTAGTCGCGGCCAAGACTCTCCTGCTCCTGCTTCACCTGGTTGAATTCTTCTGTCAGGCGATCTGCTGTCTGGCGGGCAGCTTTTAAGGAGCCTAGGTGAAGCTGTTCATGTCTGAAACCCACTCATGCTCCAAAATTCGGGCTTCCAGTAAGCAACAGAAGGCAAAACGCCAAACTTGATCCAAGCTACGGCTGCTGTCCATGCGGCTGTAGGTAGGACGGACTGACCAAGAATGGCATGCCAAGATCAAAGGTCATGCGGGACTGAAAACGAGCTGGCCACTCCCAATGCAAGACCATCCTAGGAGTGTGCTTTGTGGATGCACAAGTTCCTGATAGTTCCTGCGAGCATCTGCGCCCTTGCGCCTTCATGCTAAAAACAGACTCCAGTACCAATTCCTGGTTTCCTGTGCCGTGAGCTTGGTGGTTAACTGACACTTTGGCAACTGTTGTCTTTTCAGGATGTGAGAAAAGCAATCAGAAAAACGTACAAATTTCAACACTAATACCTTGACATGTTGAGCAGCGCAGTGAGAATCATTTCCCCAGATTCGCTTTGGTAAGCCCAATCCTGGGTTCCCAAAGGTGCCCTCGAGCACGTGACACGAAAGTCATGAACTTGGCATGTGATCTAGGAAATCCGCGGAAATCGCTTCACAAACTGATTTGCCTAAATCCAGCCACACAAGTGCAAATCAAAATGAACGATTCAACCAGCGAATTCTGCCTGATCCCTGCGACTCAGTTCCAACTGGCACGCTTCCTGTAGGCGATAATGCTGGATCCGCGTCCTCCTTTTCACAAACCCAAAGGCATCGAGTCACAGGCAATGCAGCCCCAACTGATGGAATCCCACCCTGTCCGGAGTTACTTGTAAGATCTGTCTGTCTGCTCTATGCTGACTCGAGAAGTGGTCAACAATTGATCCAGTCCTCAATTTCTTCCAGAACACTCGACAGGTGAGACGCGAAGTGCGACATGTCGGAGTGTTTCTCTGGAAAGCTTCTCGGCATCCAGTCCGCCTCACAGGACCCCTGAGATTTGGCAAATGCAGTACACAGGCCGATAAGCACATGGGCTCAAATGGCTCTCGGCAGTTTGTTTAAGACTCGGGCCTGGTCGCTCATCTGCTGGATTCGGAAGTCCAAGTTGAGTAGCCAAGCGTCCAAGCGATTGCTCATTGACTGATTCTGCTCTCTTAGCACCTCATGCAACATCTCGCACAAGGCCAGGGACTCCTTTAATGCATCATCTGGGCGGCCCATTCCATGGGCAGCCATGGCCGGGAAAAAGCAACACACGCAAGGATCAGGTTAAGGAAACAAGGTGAGTGAAGTGGTCATTCATTGTCTTTTTGTATGTAACTTTGGCACTGTTTGGTGGCTGCGTGGATCGGCCAGAGCGAGACCGGTGCCCCGCCCGTCTCATTTTTCAACTCTGTTCTGAAACGAGCCGGGACATCTCAAAGAATTCTGTTAGCCACATGACACGCATGCGAGCCAATAAGCCCCAACTACACTGCAGCACTGGAAGTCTGGAGCTCCAAGCATCGCACACCGAAGCACGTCAGCCTGCGTTGCTTCCAACGAGACACAGCAGCAATCAGTCAATGAGCAACGTGCTTTTGGACTCTCAACTCCATTGATAGCACTCAGCTCAAAGACCTCATGCAGCCATGCCTATACGTGTCCGTCCTTCAGGCGGCGGCCATTGTGTATCCTGGCAGCACCGTCATGGGTTCGTGTTGCCATCTGTGAGGCGAAAGCAAAGGTCAGCGAAAACTGATCCAGCATGGTGCGCAGCAACAGTCAACGGTGAGCCAGCGAGTTCAATGAGTCAGTCACAGCTGAGGGAACGAGTTAGATGTGTGAGTGAGCGAGTTCGTGAGGTGGAGGAATTCTAAGTCTGGAGGAGTTTTTCGGTTTGCAATGCTTGTATAGGGCTACTGCAAGAATAAGCAGAAAAGGAGTGTTGGATAAGAGGAAAGGAGTGGAGTGGAGTGATTTAAGTGAAGGTCGTCAGTCGTCAGTGGATGCAGCAGCGGGAAGGGTAATGTAAGTAAGTGAGTTCATCAGCACAGGAAAAAATCATGAATGCATGAGTGCAACGTGGCCGAATGCATGAGAGGGAAGATTATCATGCACGCGAGATATGTACACGAGTGACTCAGGAAAGGAGAATGAGCATTCTAGAAAGTAAACGAATGGGTGAGTGAGCGAGCGAGCAAACATCCGTGGCTGGAACGAAGTGGTGGAGCGACGGCTGGCGCGCGTGATCAGCACAAACAAATGCGGTGAGTCTTTAAGTGGAAGTGAGCCAGGCAGAGTGACTTGAGTCAGTGACAACCCTCAGAATGACCACTTGAGATTGAAGCCTGCGGCGACAAAACCAGACCTTGAAACACCAGAAGAGTGGAGAGGAGGAGGAGGAGGAGGAGATCGGCACATGGGAGTACCCGCTGCCTTACAACCACGTCCCTAAACAGCATCTAAGGAGGGCTCTGCAATCGTCGTCGCCTTTCTCCGCGGGGAGTTGCAGTGGAGGAACTAGCTATTGCAGCTAAGTTGCCTTGACGGGAAGGGCCACAAGAAGGACAAACCCAGCCAAGCCCCCCCATGAGGAGAGGGGAGAAGGAGAAGAGGGAGAGCGAGAGAGCAATAGGGAGCAATAGGGAGCAAGAGAACGGGCACCTAAATTTGCCAGCATTACAAAAACACGTTCAAGCAGCAGTTGTGTCCCTCAGAGTGAAGCTGGATCGAAGCGTGGACTCGCGGGGAACCTTCCAAGGCAAGACTGGCGTAACCCTTCTACATGATGATATAGAAATCAGAAAGAAGTTACCAGAATGGGTATATATAGAGTAATGAATAAGGTCTCCCCAATAACTTCAATTCAGCTGCAGCGTGTTGCTCTTGGCCTCGCTGAGCACCACGCCAAAGGGCCTAGCAGCTCACAAGTCGCAAAGTCGTCACGTCGCAACGTCGTGACTCCATGACTCCAACGTGATTACAACAGCGGAGAATTAACTTCTGCATACTGATGCTGAGGTTTGGCTGCGGGTGGTGGTGTGTCGAGGTTCGATTTTGCATCTGCATTTGGGAGGACGTGGTCAGGTTTTGCCTGGCCCCGAACGCTCTTCCCTTTGGACATCAACAAGCTTCAGCCTCCCCTCTTTACGGCTCCAGTGTTGGACACCTCCACCCAGGCCCCGACGCTGCGCTGAGGCGTGCCTCTGCAGCAGCCTGCCAACAGGAAAGCCCATTTGGCAGTAGCACCAGCACTCATCACACACCCGTGAGCTAAGCAAACTACCCTTGAAGGGCCGGCATGTAGAGCTCCCAATGATCTGGGTCAACAGACACAAGGAGGAGGCAGCAGACTACAGACTGAAGATATCTTAAGATCGTGAAGTCAGGTCCAGACACTGTGGCTGCGAGGCCACCGCCCTGAAAGCGGCTGGCTGGAAAGGAGGCTGTGCCCAACACAAGACAAGTTCACTTGATTGAGAAACAAGGCCTTCTGACCCTTCAGAGCTTGGAGACGACCACTGAACCTAAGCAAGAAATGCTTTAGTGCGATTGCGTTGATCATGCGCTACCCTCGACTCTATGATCTGCTTTCTTTTTCCGGCGACATGGGCTTCAGCGCTTCCCACTCCTCGCATTGTGACAGCCAGGCCAGCGCAGCGGTCGGATTGGCGGAGTGCGGGCCAGCCCTGCGCGAATAAATGCAATCGTGGATAGTGGATACATCTAAACCCTTGCTGTCCTAGCATTCACGGCTTCAAAATCTGAACCCCGACTAGTATGATGCAGGCAGGTTGCGCAGTGCAGCTTTGCCTCGGCTTGGCAACCAAGGAAACAAGTGAACAGTCCGGCAACTCAACATCAATCCAGCTACATCTCCGCGATCGTTGGCGCACAACTCCACATCTAGAATTTCTGCAGCATTGCAACCCACCACCATAACAAGCCCAGGGATGTTTGCGGAAAACTGCTTGTAAGAAGCAATATGAACCCAACACAAATGCAACGGGAAGCAGGAAGTGCAATAGATCATCAGGAAGTGGTGCAGCAGCCGCCATAGATCTTCCTACGCCAAACGCATTTGGCCAGCGCAACCGCAAGCAATGACCAGTTCTCGAAATGCCCTGCCTGCTACATTGAAGGCGAGCCGGTACCTTGCCGGCTCGAATGCATACGGCAGAAGACGCTCTGCAGGTTGTCAACAAAACTCTCGAGAATGATTGGCATCTTGTGCTTCAAGACAATCCGACAAACGTATTCGCATGAACTCACCTGTGCAGGAAGTTCCGCGGACACCGCTCATCATCGTGGAGCGTGCTTGTTGCCTGGACTGAAGGTCAAGCAGAGCAGGGCAAGAAAGGCGGACGTACTGGTATTGGTTTGCCAAAACATTCCATCGCACACGGGCCTTTTGACAGATGCAGCGCCTGGATCAGATATGGCTAGCTGTCTCTAAATTGGCTTAATTTTGTGGCCAGACTGATGCATCTTCTGAGATGATTTGTCTATTTACATGTCGGCACAGCTGGGCATGTGCCCGTGTCTCTCGGGACTGCACGTGATATTAACAAATGAATGATTTGACCGTTGCCATAGTTAACCTGCAGGGGGGCGGTGGAAGGCATAGCCCTCTTCGAGGGCATCGTGACCGTTCAGACAACAGTGCCTACAATGGGAGATCACTCAGCTGCTGTTCAGCCCCCAAGATCTCAGGCTGACATGGTCCCTTCTTGGAACCTGTAGCCAATTCCACGATTCCGAAAACCTCAAACTAGCACAACAAACTAATGGCTCCAGCTCCACTCACTTAGCGAGAGTTGGGAGAACGGGGTGGTTTCGGCATGTCTCTTCGCCGCGACCTGCTGTTACAATGCCCTCTGGCACGAAGCTTGGACTCCATCGAAATTCGCAGGACTACAAAGGAACTCCCAACCTGTTGGCCGGCGGCTCGAGCGGAACAAACTCAGGCGGTGGCCCTGGGCTCAACAGGATCTCAAAGCAGTCTCCCTTGCACATCTACCACAGTGATTGAGCTTCTCAGAATTCTGAAAGGACACCCCAGCCGGGAGGTAGAGGTGAGTTGAAGACAAACTTACCCGCAGATTTCTTCCTCGAATCACGGCAGAGAGACCAAGCACACTGACAAAAAAAAGCACTCTGACACCAAAAAGATCCAGGAAGAACGTTGCTGTCCAGGATGCTCTCGAATCCGCTCGATGTGGTGATTCTCTGCGTGTCTCATTCCTGGGTGAGCACTGCTTTGCAAAAGCTTCAGCGACAGGGCAACTTGGCCTGATTCAGTCATGCAGCGTGGACTTGCACCCAAGGGTGCCCGTGCATTGAGAATGGCCTCCGTCTGTTGCCGCCGGGCCTCCATGGACCTGGGCTTCGTGGGCCACTCACCAGCTAAATGCCCCGAACTAACTTTACGCTTGTGCCGGAGTCTATCATCTGAGCGACTTCTGCATTCTATAAGCTGTCCATTCCTGAGGCCGCAAAACTTGTGTGCCAAATCGGTGCCGTTTGCACTCTGAACAAACAGTCCGACTGACGCATTTTCGTAACCGTGACTGTAGCACGCATCATCCCAGAAGCCGAGGATCGACTTTGCTTATGCCAAGTTCTTGCCAGGTCAACCTGCTGAGTTCCACACAGCTGGCTTCGTGAAGCCGGCTTGAAATCAGGCAACATCTCAATGATTTGATGAGTGGCTTTCCAGAGCCCTCCGTGCCAATCAGCGCGCGGAAAAGCCTTCGGGCCTAGTAGCAAAGGATGCAGCCAACCCGCAGTGTGCTCGAAAGACTCATACCAACAAAAAAATGGCGTTTCATCTCGTAGTCAGTTGGAGAATGTCATGATGGGTTTGAACGACGGTGGTCCAATGACTAAAGGAAACGCTGGAAACCTGCACTGGTTTCAGCATACTCCTGAAACATGCTCTCATTTTAGACTCACTCCTGCAACGACTCGAACTATCACATCAAGCATTCACAACATCAAGGTAAATTACCATTTATCAATGGAAATCCATGTTGCCTCTCCATGGCGACAGTATCGCAGGAGGTTGGCGACCACCCCTTCAAACTCCACCTTTCTGGAATCAGCGTTGCTTAAACCATGAAAGGCTCACCGGAGGCTTTGAAAAAACGTCGACCTGTGCTTTAGCATCATGACATCGTCTTAATCAAAAGCTCCCAAACTTCCGTGCCAAATGCCAAGGCTCCAATGACAGCTCTCCACTCCTGGGCTGGCAAGGCTAGCGACAGTCAAAGTCCACGAAGAACTGATTGAAAAGTTTCAGGCGCTAAGCCCTCCCTATCGGCTCGAGATGTAGCAAGCTCTACTCCAGGTGAAGTCAAGAATCCTGTTTGCATCCATCTCCTTGCAGAGGAAGGCATACGAATGCTGCACACGAGCACCCAGAAAAGTCACCTTTATCATCTCTGTGTTTTTGCGGTATCAGGGAAGAGCAGGGCGTAAGCAGGGCATAACGCAGCACAGCGCTTCAAGCCCTCTTGCTCCTCGAAGGCCTGCGGAAGCGAACCGAACGTCTGGCTCAAGTACTCGCGGAAGTGCTGCACTTCCTTCAAGAAAACATGAAGGAATCCTTGCGCCTTGCCGCAACAAAATCTAATCTATTGAACACGCCAGAGGGTTCATCTTGAAACTCAACGATTTTCTGTTCTTGAGAGCTGGTGCCAAAAAAAAAACTTTGTGTGCTCAGATCGTTGCGTGAAATTTCAATAGAAAGTGTGGAGATGGAAATTGAAATGAGCAGCTCGGAGGCCTGTAGCGACTCCGAACCTGTGGAAAGCAACCTGGCGGTTCCAAGTCCCACTCCCGGCCTTCTCCATGTCCATGGAGACCTGGCTAGGGCCATAAAATGGCCGCAACTCACTGCGGATATCGGTTACAGTACATGCCTCCTTCCCCATCAGAAAGAAAGAAAACGTCGCCTGCTCAGAGTACTCGGTCGTGTTGGATGACCGGCTGGGGTCCAGGACCCTTGCAGCGTGCCAGATCGCATCAGGAGGACGGCAAATTGGGTTATCATCAGAACAAGAGCGCTCCAGGCTACAGATGCTACACCTGCTTAATCGCCTGACCTGACAGCTCGTGAAGTTCAATCCGCTGCGGACTGCTACCTAATCAGGACCTGTGACACTGGACAAAAAATGAGAACCCGTTCATAACATAATCATCACCAATTTGCCTACGGAGGATAAATATCTGACTTTGCAGGTTGAGAGGCTGCGAAGTCAAGAACGGATCCTGTCATTGCACAACCCACAAGAACAAGACGCAGTTGACATGACAGCAGGTGAATGCTCGCAAACAAGCATCAGCAGGACAAGACTTCCCCAGGAGCCCACGCCTCACCCCTATCCCTTACCCTTGGCGGTCCCGATTTACCCAGCGGACGCCAAGACGGCGCCTCAGCAGCTTTCGGCGCTTGGTCTCCTGGTAGCCCAGGCAGACTATGGTGTGGCGTCGGAGTAAAGGACCACCATGCTGCATCTGTGCTCAAATCAGAAAAAGCGAAGCTTAGCAAAATAGACGCAAGCTTGAAAGCCCCGTGCGAAAGTCAGCACAGCAGGACATGCATCAAAAGGGAACGTGCTTTCATCTAGCTTTGCGGTCTTCTCAAAACTTCCCCAGTTCGAGCCTCCCAACTCTGAAGGAACTGCATGTCCTGGCGAAAATGCATTTGCAGCACGCATGAAATCTCACTCTTCTCTCTGCTTGCTTGAGAGTTGCCTCAAGAGCCAGGTGTTGGCTTCCGCTTTTGAGCAACAGCTGGTGAAAGAGCTCCTCCACCTCGAAACAACACATCATGTCATGGGATCATGCCTCGTCGGGCCTATTGAAACGGGCACCAACTCCGAATGAACCAAACAAGCCTCCAGCTCATCTTCGTAGCCGAGGGCCTTGCAGCCCTGAATGAACACCTTCAGACTCACGGCATTAGTCCTCTCGATGTCCATAACAACCTGGCACTACTTAAGTCGAGATGTTTCCAAAGCAATCAAGTGAAGCAACCGTGAGTATGACAACTGTGCACATTCCAGCCTTCCACATATGCTCAATGGACTCATGATGTTGGAGGCTGACTACCCGGAATTTCTCCAGCGCAGCTGCTGCGCGAGGATCCAGCTCATCCAAAGATATGCTGCCTTATGGAGGCAAATGATTCAAAGGCAAAGGAACTGTTTCTAGAAGGCCACACTTGCGTTGTAGAGCAGCAGGCCTCATCCACATTGGGTTGTTGTCTGTTGCATCTGCTGGAGACACCACTGTTCACAACCCGTCAACTGTGGACTGACTGTTCATACCGCGTGGCCTGCGTTTGTAGAGTCCAGCAAATGCCACAGTGTGCGGATGTTTCCGACGTAGCCGAGTCGAGTCAAAGCCTGGCTGGGGTTGCACCCAAACTGCCGTGGTTTTGCTCGCTGCGACCATGCTCGCCTGGCAGAACTCTCGCATGTCCATCCTCCCACTACCATCAATGTCCAGCACGCGCCATGCCCTCGACAAAGTGCCGAACTTCGACTGGAGCACCTTAACAGACCCGCAGCCCAGCGCTCATTGCTAGTCTCAGCAACATCAGAGTGCACTCAACAGCGCTAAAGCCGAGGAACGTCCTTAAACTCATCCACAGCACTGCAGCGAGAAAAGAAGGATTGGGAGGTGCGGTAACTGTCAGACAGTCCCGCTTCGACTAGCATCCGCCGTCGGAGATGTGGCCCCGAATTCCACCACATGGCAACGTTCGCAAACAGAAAGTGACGTCATAAGAGGAGCGCCCCGTAGCCCTGCGCTTCCTTGAGCCCGTGAAGCAGACAGACGAGAGCGTTCCTGCACTGATCTTGTGAACGCGCCTGAATTGAAGGGAGCTTCACAATGAAACTCATGTTTGTCAGTAGGTCAAAACTTGGTTGTCGAAGTGCAGTGTACTTGCCATCCGTCACGGTTGGGTGGCCGATGTGAGCCATATGCGCGCCTCGAGGCTTTGCGAATGCCTGTTTCCTGTCAGCATGTGCTGACGCTTGTTCTCTGACTTTTCACCGAGCGGCGGATCTGATGCATTCCTGGGTTGGGGTTGCTAGGAGGCTACGTTTTTAGCCATTTGGCGCGATGTTGGCAATGCTAATGACGGCCAGACACTTCCGGTCACAATGCTGATGGCAAGTAGGCAGAAGGAAGCCCCAGCCAGCGTGAAGTAGCCCAGAACTTTCAACCCTGCAGGCTAAGTGCAGTGAGAGCATGGGCAGTCTGATATCTACAATTGCAAGGCGCTACACAACGTTTATGGCGCCGAGGCACGGGTGCTGGCCACCTTCCCGGTGTTTGACACCAAGCCCTGATCCAGCTGGCCATTGGTCCAGACATAAACGCGTGCACGCACCTCAACCAAGACTTGTTGGCGCATGCGCGACAGGGACTGTTCTATGCGTCGAACCCACTCACCAATGGAGAATAAGGTGCTTCAGCTCGATGGCTTGCGGCCCAGCCATGGCACAGTGTCACATACTCCTCAGAAGGCCAAATTTCACGAGCGAGCCCCATGTACAAACCGCATGAGAAGACTGGAAGTAGACCAGGTGCACGAAGCAGAGAACCTTGCAGAACGAGGGCTCAGATATGATGGCACAAGGCACCAGCTGGAGCATTTGCAGCGAAGATGCCGGCTTGCAGCTGCATTTGAAGATCGTAGTACATTCGGTGGGTTTTCGCGACAAGGATGAGGCCGGAGCTGGGCACATCCAGGCCTTCAAAAGCCAGAATCTTAAGATTGAAGCACCAGGCCTGACTTGGACCTCTGGGGACCACGCGATGTAGGAAGCCTCTGGCAGCGGCCACGTCGCTGAGAATTGGAAATTGGCGGACTGGGAAGTGCGCTTCCAGACAAACGCCCAGCGAAGCGATGCCTCCGCTTCAGTTTGGGCTGAAGGTATGTGAGCATGCGTGAGCAAAACATGCAGGGCGTTCAGGGCGTTAAGCTTGAATTCACATGGGGCGCTGTTTCGCTCGGCTTCCCCCGAGTCGACGGACCAGAGCGGCGGCTTGAAAGCCACCAGAAGCTCCTGCTGAGCAAGGCAACGAGAAGGATTGCATATATACATGTATATATATATATGATTGCATGGAGGCATCCCGCATCCCGGCACCTGGTGCTCCAATTGCAAAGGCAGCGCCACAGAAGCTGCCCTCGGCTGAAGGACGGGGACCCGTGTGGGGTGCTGCCTCGGTCACAATGCCCCCAGAAAAGGAGGCTCAAGGCCTCGCCTCAGTGCTCAAGCAAGACTTGGCAAGCCTGTCCAGCGCCGCAGCTGTGCTCCCCAAAGCTGTTGCAGTAGCTTCCAGCATCCTGCCAGGCAGCTTGTGGTAGGTTTCTTTGAACGCTGCCTGCGCTGCTTGCTAACGCCAAACTGTACAGTCAGAGATGAGGCCTGTTAAGTGCAGGGATTCCAAGTTTGCTGAGGAAGTTGCACTACAGTGTGCACCAAGCCATCATGGAGCCGATGTTCAGTACTGGCTTTCAGAATTTCTTGATTCTGCCACAGCTCCTGCAGGCGTTTATGCGCGAAGCAAACATCATTAGCATTGAAGATAGCAACATGAACTAGCATACGGCCCTAGTGACTCTTGCGGCGTGTCTGCCCATCTGCTCATGCATTGCACTGGTAAGGAGCGTTTTGCAAGCGATGTAACTTGAAACTGTTCTTCTGTTAGCCCTTTCATCCTCGGCTGGAGGCAGCCAAGGTAGTTGCATGCCCAGACCGTTGTAAGAGCAGAAGAGCTGCAATCCAATTGCTTGGTCGACGTCCGCCTTCGAAAACAAGTCTAAAACTGCTCCTCACAGACTTGCATATCAAACAACCCGTCTTTGTGCCGCGGCACGTGCCCAGCGCAGCGGTGGAAAACATGTCACCCATCTGGTTGATCATTTCCTCGCACCCACAGACATGCAGCGCTTCACTCGCCGAAATTGGCAGGGATGTTCCAGTTCACTCACAGGTTGCTCTGCTTTACCGCTGCAAGCTTGACATTCGTTTTTCGTCTTCACGCGCGTCATTTGCTGCGCAGGCGGCTCGCGGGTTGCAAACCGCTTTTGCGGTGATACGGCTGCGAGAAGTCAGCTTTCAGCTCCCAACGTTAGTCTTTAGAGTTCACATCCGGTCTGACTTGGACAAATGAAACGTCTTCCCCCCTCTGCTCGCACTAGGGAACGGAAGCACAGGGCCCCGCTCTACGACCGAACTACTGGATTCGGACTTGGACAACAACGCAACTGAATTGTCTGACTATTTTGCTGATCCTTGCCAATCAAAACCCTTGGAGTCCGGATCCCAAACGAGTGCTTAAGCAGCATGTCTCAACGCAGCGCGGTCTGCAAGCTGCAGGATGGTACCTCAGTCTGTCGAGAGGCGCGAACGTCTCCTGTGGTCAAGCAAAACAGCAGACCCAGAGCATTTCTAAGAACCTTTTTAAACCTTCTTCCCCACCCCAACACCTTCCATCCCCAGCCGTACACTTGACTACGCTAGCAAAGTCTCACGACGGCATCTAAGTTAGCTCTGGTTGCGTCTTCGTGTTGCATTTCCCAGTCAAACTTCTTGCAATTAGGGAGTGTCATCACTAGTCTTGTGAAAGTGTTTGGGTCTGTGACTTTCTGCATATGTTGCGTGCGACCACCAGTGACTATCAGGAAGGTAGATCCTCTTGATACGGTTCGGCATGTTCAAATGAGAATTAAGAGGTGTCTGCGCAGGCAGGGGAATGCAAAACGCATACCAACCTCTTGCTGTCCAAGCAGCACCACAAACTCTCCGCACCTTGCCGCTGCGCCGGTGCGGATCGAAGCCTTTGCATAGCTGCCCGCATGTCCTGTGCCGAGCCAGGATTCGGTGCCGGGCCGGGAAGCGATCTTGTCAAAACAGCAGCGAACGCAGTCTCAAATTTGATTTTGGCTTGCTGTCTAGCCAACAAATCATGAAGCAAGTTACGAACGTCTCAACATGCACAAAGCACTTGCAGCTGAACGCTTTCCCACACAGAGCCTGTGCAGGACAGCGAAAGCCTCTTCGCGACACTGATCTGAGACCTCAGTGAAAGGAAATTGGAAAGCATAGTCTCCCTTGCCGAATTGTTGGTGGGTAGAGTGTACCTAGACTCGGCTATTGATTTCAGAGTCTTCCAGAACCAGGAACAAAATAGTAAGAAGCAAGCTTGTGCCGGCTGGGGCTAGCACCTTAATGAGAAACCACGCTGCAAGGCACTTTGAAGACATGTAGCCCACAAGGTCAAAAAAAATCCCCAGACTCATGCGCCCATATGTTCTAATTGGGGCTCAAGGGCAACGTTACGACTCCTTGGGCCAGGGCATCGTCACTCTCCCGAAGGAGGCAGGGATCTGCGAGGACAAGATCCCCCTGACCAGTTTCAATTCCTTGGCTGCGCAGCGTGTGTGAGGTACGCACAGGAATGGACAACCCCTTCACAAATCTGCACATCAGTGCAGCCACAATAAGACAATGAGAGAAACAGATGAAGAGAACGAGAGAGAGACAGAGACAGCGAGAGAGAGAGAGGCAGAGATGGAGAGTGCCAGACAGAGACCGTCTAGGTCTGGGATAAGGAAATCAGATCCAAGGATTTCACCAGGCTGAGGCACCTTGAAGGTCGAAAGGCAGGGCCCGGCCACCACTTTGCCAAAGCACGTAATGGAAGAAGGTTTGTGCCAGTTCGTGATACTCCTCTGTACCATCCAGCATAAACTTAGTGACGTCGGTTGCCGGGTAGTCCATGATGACCACATAAGCATCCTACAGGGCAGCGCCTCCCTCATCAGTTCTGTCTTCTACCTGCATACCAGCATCTGTCATACTTTTCTTCTTGGCTAGCTATCACTGATTGCAACATCGGGAAAGACAGCAGGGTGCAGCATGAACTTGCGTACCAACCCCACTTTCAACAACCAGCTCCGAGTTTGTCAGCTGCGGAATCTTGCTGTCCAGCACACGGCAGCCCACAGGCGCACAAATCTTGACTTGAGGAACATCTCCTCCACCTCTAATTGCAAAGAGCTGATTCAAAAAAAAGGGTGCTGTGCAGCCGCTCGTAAACTGAACATCTGCAGCTCAGGAACCATCGGCAGCAGCTGCCTCAGACAGGTACTGATTGAAGTTGGCAGCATACCTGTCACAAGCATTGCCCAACAGCAAACATGGTTGGCACGTGCCTTCACAAAAGCTCTGCACAGTTTTGTTGGGTCATGACTGAACAGAAAACTAGGCAAAACAAGTGCTTGCATTAGTAAGTTTAAGGTGGGAAGTGCTCAACAATGAACTGCGCTTCTCCCATTCCCCTTTCTTCTTATGTGTTAAGTGATGATGGCTAAAGATATGGCTCTCAGGACAAAAAAAAAAAAGGACGACGAACTTGACTGGGTGCTGGATCATCTCCTTGCTGTCTTGTAAAGAAAGCATTACCTGAGCCAGCGTCTGCTCGCTCAAGGATGCACAGAAGTCCAGCAAAACGTACCTCAGAAATGGACAAGTAAGAACCGCTTGCGGCCGTTGGGGGGGGGCATCTCTAAGAAACTTTCTACAAGGACAATTTCCACAACAAGCTTACAGTGGTGGTGTCTCATGAAAAATGTCAACGTTTCATCTCTACGAGTGCAAACTAAGTCAAAAACAGCACACAACCATATGCTTGTCTTGTCCAGCAGCCTGGATGTACCTTCCACCCTCGCCCGCATGAAAACATGCGGCGTACATGCTCGCTCCTTGCCAACTCTGACCAAACAACCGCCCGCTGCATGTTAGGTTTGAGCATCTCCAGCCTTATACAATACTACACAAATAACCCCTATGTAATCCCAGTTTCCATTTCATTTTCCATTTTCTTTTCCATTTGATTCTCCATTACAGCCCTATATTGGGTACAAGAAACAAGAAGATACGGGCAGTGAGCTCAGGCTGAAAAAAGTAGTAGTAGTAGTAGTAGTAGTAGTAGTAGTATTAGTATTACTACTATTAATATTGCTAATATTCGCAATATTATTAATATTAATAATAGTAATATAAATAATATTGATAATAATCTTGGGTTCCGTAGTTGGCCAAGTGAACGGAGGTTTGGAACCCGATCGGAAGCGTCGCGCCATGCTGAAGCGCGCCATGAACTGGGCATAGACCCCTCAGCACTGGGATTGGAAGAGAAAACCAAAGCACGCAGCTTCAACCAGATCTTCAATAAGTTCAAAATCAAACAAAAAAAAAGAAGCCCAGCAAGATGATTATCACAACCAGGCATCCCACGGTCTCCACACCCTCCAGTATTACCTCATCCGTCAGCCGGAACGGATTTCCGTGAACTCCGGGGCCATCCTCTGACCACGCAAGGAAAATCAGGAGTGGTTTGATGCTGTGTATTCAACTAGGTCTAGACACAACTACTTCATGTGCGTGCTGTATCCTGCGTGACTGTGCTGGACAAGCTTCGCGTATAGGCGCTGCATCAACACGAAGGAGCAGCTGTGGCCCGTACTGCTGGGCTAGCGCGGATGACAGCTCCTCCTCATCCATGAAGGCAGCATCCAGCACATTGCGGCACACCGAAATAGCAGTCCCCATCTTTGTGGGCAACTGCGGCTACACGGCTTCGTGCGTGAGCCACATGGCTACTGTCACTGGAAATGGCCTGAGCGCAGTACATTATACTCAGGGAAGAGTCACAACAGTGCCCACTAGGTGGCACCCGAGCGCTTGTTGTCCTGCTGCACAGCGAGCAGAAGGTCCAAGTCCCAAACCTGCCAGGGCCAAAATCACTCCAAAGCTAAAGGACCACAACGCAAAGCATGCAACCACTTCAGTGCCCACTTCTGGGCCTCGAGATTTGCCAGGGCCCAAGCCAAGTGACCCAAATCACGCCAGGTGAGGCGCCCCTGGGAGAGAAGCTCCTTGGACGTGGTCCTGGACAAGTGGCAAAATTACAAGTGGCAAATTCATCAAATCAAACCTACATGGCCCTACATCATGCGCCCAGCCACAGCAGCTTGAAGAGAAGCTCTTTCTCAGCAAATGCCATAGAGGCCATGCACCACACCTCAGGGAAACTGACAACGTTGCTGGCCTTCATCTCGCCGTGAATCCTACAATTCACTAGTGACCGGTCAAGTTCAGGCCAAGGTGCCAACAATACTATTTCTTGTGGCGTCCTGACTTGGACAGCCCAGCAGATGCAGTTCCAGGATTTCTCCACACATGTCACTGACACTTACAGTATTGTGTAATCTTGCTAGTCTGCTTAGCCTGCTCCAGCTTGGAGCCATGCGCTAAGCCTCCCGTCCAAGGGTCGCCCGTGCCACTGAAGTTGGTGCGCAAGCAGAACGCAGCAGATCAAGATCCTGGAAAGATGCATGGTAGAAGCTTCCAAGCAGTCAACATTGTGGACATGGCAACTCACGGCCTCCGGTCGTAGCGAAGGCTGCTGAGACAGCCTCCCATCCAACTTGTAAGTTGCTGCTGCCCCAGGCTTGCATGCCAGCACAACCTAATGCGAGCTGCTGACTCCCTTTGAAGAAACATACCATGGCCTCCGCACAAGATTTTGCAGAGTTCCATCTTCAACCTGGCCTCCAGAGAACGATGCTTTACATCAAATGCTGGGTCTGCTAGGTAGAGCGACATGCATTGACTTGTGGAATCCTGTGGGTTGCACTGCTGCAAAAAAAGGCTCGGCTCTGGATTTGCGGCACCTGATACACCTCGTCCGAGCAAACGGAGCGACCATTGCCACTGTTCCTCGGCTACCAGCAAATGCGTTAACACCACTTTGAAAATCCTAGACGTACCCAGCCTTGGTGAGCAACTTGCTTGCAAACTCTGCGGCTAGTTTGCAACCAGGCTAAGCTTTCGCTCTTACCCAGGTGCTTGAAAGCGTGCTAAAAGATACCAAGCCGCAGCACGGTCACAGGCCATTCTCACCGAACCAAGACTGATTGCATCGCACTGCAGACCTGGCAAGTGTTTTACAAATGACTCATATGAAAACAGCATAGCCGAGGCACCTTGTTCTGGAACAGCCCGAAGAAGCTGAAGCGCAGAAGCCCATTTCCTCACCTTAGCTGAACGGTGTGGGGGCCTCTTATCGACGCACCTCATGAATCAAACTCTGGTGGTAATCCCAGCAACTTTTTCGCAGGCATGCATCGCTGCATTGATAGCGATCAAGTTCCTTGCTGATTTGACAGATCGCCGTAGCACATGGTGGCTCCAAGGACAACATCACCAATGACACAAAATATGTTGCTGCTGGATGGTTACAATGTACACTGCATGGGAAACATCACAGTGTGGCCTTGAGACAAAGAACAGGAAAAACAGCAACTCCGAACCGCAGCACATCTGCCAAACTGTAGATGGATTGGGCCAGGTCTGAAAAAGTGGGGTGGGTTGATGCTGGGCCAGCCCTACCATGGTGTATCCGATCTAAAAAGCTTGTTGGCCCCCGTCCCCACGGCCATGTTGCGGACAGGCTTCGGTCGTAGATGAGATGCAGCCATGCCCTGATAGAGAACAAGAGCGGCCTTGGAAAGCACGAGGGCACCCTGTACAAATCTGTTCTCCTCAATGCGTCGGGATGCTTGCCAGTGTGCTGAGCGCGCGCAGGCACTGATGGCTGCACAATGGCTGATGCAGTCTGGTCTGAGGTCCTGCTGAGGGTGTGATTCATCAGTTATAAGGACAACGTACCAGATGCCGGCAAAAACCAGCCACTGCCTGGTCCACCATCTGCACGAGAAGCGCCAAGGCCATGTCCCAGACCCCAGCACGCTCACATGCTGTGATCGCCGCATTCATGCAGACCTCGTTCAACGAATGCCAGCAAGACCTTAGCAGGCAAGACCTGTGTGGCTGATGCAAGAACATGTTCGGTCTACTGGTGCTTCCCTGAAGCAGCAGCTGAGGCACAGTTCCCAAAGAAGAGCCAGAGCCATCTCCCACTCTCCAGCCTTCAAGTGCATAACTTTTATAACTTTGCACGTTCCCAGCTTAATACCTCATCCGCCCGGCTGCTTTTGCACAGGAGCTCATGGCGGCACCGTAAGCAATGATGTCAGCTTCAGGCAGCTGCCTCAAGAGGTCCTGCCAAACACACATCTTAATTTTTGCTCATCCTGATTTTTTCTCATGCAATCCAGAGCTCGAAATTAAAGCATGTCGGCATAAGCAAGTCTTCTGCATCTATCCATAGTAAGAACAAATTACGCCACTGCGCACATCCTGCATCCACACTGCAAGCACAACACAGCTCCCGCATCGCTCCAGTGAAACTTTCCAGCGCCCCAGTGGCTCACAGCCGGACAGCACAGCCGTGTAGGAAATGGTGTCCTTCTCGGCGGAACAAGTCACATGCTTACAATCGGCTACACAGCTCGTAGCTGTCCAACAGGCAAAAAAAAACACGCCGCAGTAAGAGACGGGAAAGCCTGATCAGAGCAGTTGTCAGGCCTGCTCCACCTGGTCTTGTGCCATCCTGGTGATGAGGAACAGAACGCAGGCGTGCAAAGGAGAGAAGAATGATGCCTTCACTACGCTCCAGCCTCCCGAAAAGACCGAAGGCGCTCAGCCAAGAGACTGCTCTTGCTGTAGCAGTCAGCCCCTGGGCCCATCAAGCGTGCAACCAGCTAACCGCACAAGCGATCTGGCAAGCACATCATAGGTGCAAGTCTTCTGACCAGCCACTGTGCTCGCTACAACTTCGGTCCTTCGCAACCCTGCCGCCTTGGCTCTCCAGGGCACCCTGTACAAGAGACTGCACCATTCAAGCAAGGCCTGCATCCTGCGTAGCATCTCCATGGCCCATTCCCAACGCCCGCGCGAATGGGCAACCGTCTGGATAGTTGCCGCATATGTGGCAGCACCTGGAAAAAACACGCCATGTCAGAATGTCATAAAAAAACAATCACCTGGCTGGTGGCTTTACATGTTGCTTGCTAAGGATGAATCTGGTCAATTCGCCTTCACGAAGTGGCTAAATTGCAAAACTCGCCCCGCAAAAACATGACAAGGCATGGGCGTTGATGAGGTCGGCAGCGCAAAATCCCGAATTGACTCACTGCATCCTGTCAAGAGGCTGGCTGCCACATCTGCATTGGCAAGCCTTCCAAAAGGATCAGACCCAACAAGCATTGAGCTCGACACCACAGCAAAAGTCTTAGACTGAAACCGCGCATCCCAACAAGCAACAAAGCGAACAAAACCTTGCCAATTCAGCAAAGGATCTTTGCAAGAATCTGCACTCCGGTAGTCCAGGTGCTGCTGCGTTTGCACGCTGCAATGGCCTTCACTTCTTCGACGCTGATCCGTTCTTCTCCCATGCTTCTACAAGCTCAGGCTTGGGCCGCATTGTACTGAAAAAGGGTCGACTGCACTTGCGACCTCTGGACAAGTCCAAGCCTCAGAACTAGCTGAATCAACTGGTGACATGACGAAAGCAACACAACACTGAAGCCAAGCAACAGCTTGCCACAAGCAGTCTGGCCGCCGTCCAAGCTCATATCGGGGAGGCTTCGACATTGCTGAGATGGGGGGGTCAGCTTTCGCACTGAATGCACAAACCATGCTGCCGGTCACGCTGACAAGACTCAGGTGTGAGTCTTTGGGCTACCTGGTCTGGCTTGCCGTTTGCTTTTCACTTGCATGACTGCGGGCAAATAATAAGCTATTAACACAACCCGTGCTAGCCATCAGGCCGCAGCATGTCTTTGCATGTTCATGGGTTGCTCAGAGAAAGGGCAGCAGCGCCCAAAACTTAGCAAGAAGCGGCACAGCACACTACAGTAGACACTGCGACCTTCACCAGGCTTTAACCTTGCCTTGACTTGGAAGACATGGTGTGGGCTCTGGTGTCTCAAGGGTCCGACGACCTGCGGTACTCTGTCTCCGAGGAATCTTCAAAGATTGCCGCCTCAGCGAAGAAATGTGCTGTGCGCAAACGGAAAACAGCCGGCGCAAAAAAAACGTGTCTTGGCGGTGCTCTGAGTAAGAACAACCTTACCCACACGTCATGTAATGCAGCACTGTCCAGCAGAGAGTGGCCGCTGCGCAAACAAAGTTTCTCTCGGACCCGGGCATAAGGTGCGAAGCTCTCATGCTGAGCCTATTCCATGTGCCATCATGTGCCGGCATGTTGTAATGCTGTTAGCAAGAAGTTTCTCAGGACAGTGGTGGACAGATTGTGGACAGCGGCTCAGGGCAAGGCCTGCCACTACCCCTCAACTTGCTTGCGCTTCTGAAGGCTCATGGAGTAAAGCAGCGGACCCTTGATGCAATTCCAAGCCTTCCGTGGTCTCTCTTGAAACTCACGCAGAAAAGTCCGATCTTTGGTCGTCAGCCTAAGTGTCTGAAGGAAACGTGCAAGCTTATGGAAAAGCCAGCTTGGGAAATGCCGATTTCAAGGACTGATTGCTCAAAGAATCAATAACGTCCAACGTTTAGACTTGCTGATCCTTCTAAGGCAGGCTCGTGGATCGAAAAGCTGGCACAGGTCCAGTTCTATGCATATACTTCAGCTCCTGCGAAGGCGCAAGTCGGTCATGCTGCCCCCAAATCTTGAACAAGGAGCGTGCTACAGGCGAGCCATGAACAAGGTCTTGCGATGTTCTCCTTGGGGTTCATTCGGGCGGTTTTCCGCAGATCCTGAAACAGAGAATGTGGGCTTTGATTATCATGGTCACAGCACCATGTATGCATCAAATGTTGTGAATCTACAGCTTCAGGATGCCCGGCCTCACCAGCCTTGATTTTTGTCAGGTGGTCATCAAACAGGCGTTCCTCGACACGTGTAAGAACAAAGCCAACTGACATTGTATTTCAGCAGCTCATAAGTGCTTTACAAAACTAAATGAAATGGCTTCAAAACCTTGCTGCGTATCTGGAGACTCCCACTCACTTATCCGACTGCCCAAAAGTGCACAGGAGCCTCTTTGAGGATAGCCTCTTGGAGGGCCCAAGGATCTGGCGCTCCTGACAGACTCTTCCTACTTACGGATCGTTATTACGGTGGTGACTGTCTCAGACCGCATGAAATAGCAGATTATACGTTGAGAGGGAGATGATATACCATGAGTTGAATAAATGTCCACCTGGTTCGTCGGCCCAACAACACTTCCCCACCAACGGCCAAAGGTGAGCTGATTGAATCTTACCTGTTTTGGTGGTGTCTGGAGCTGAGCAAAGCCATGCCCATCAAAGGCAGTCAGCCACTGCTGCACACATGCAAGAATGAACAACACTGAATGCCTACTGCTGGGTGCCTGCTCGCATGCTGACGCGCTCGTCAAAGTAGTTGCATGAAGCGTCTGCAAAGCTGCTGTTGTTTGTGTTGACGCTGGTTTTGGTGAGGTTCGTGCAAGGGAACTTATGACTTGTGAAACTCATAAAAAAAAAAATATATATATATATGTATAGATGGGGCTAACTGATAGACTATCACCAGCTAAGGCACACCATGTCTTTTGTCGTGCTTGTCAAAATCCATCTGCGCAAGCAAAAGAACCACAAAAAATCGCTGCAGGAGCGGCCGCACCAAAGGATGATTTCCAACTGTCGAGGCTGGCGGCTCCGATGAAATGCTCATGGCCAAAGAGCAACCCTCAAGCACATGTCTCCACCATGCTACAACATTTTGTGTTCGAGCTGTTCCTGAATTATGCCTGCTCGAAATGATGCATGCAACGAGACTCTTGATCTCGGACGAAAGTGTGTCCAGTACTGCCGCTGATAGCAAATGCAAAACCTGCACAGCTGGCACGAGTAAATGCGCTTGCATCCCTTAAGGATATCTAGCGCTCTGCAAATGTGGCACCAGCTTGAATGAGTGTCCGCAACTTGCCGTCATAATTGGCAGACACCTGCAAAACGCTTGTGATTCAATCCCACACGAAAGCAAATATCAGGTCCATGTCAAGCAGCCATGCATTCGCACCTTTGGTTGCTAGAGTCCCAACATCTTGTCCTTCTCCTACCGTGTAGGGCTTCATCCATTGTTGCACCTGTGAGCTGAAGAACTCCTACGACTGGGCCTCCTGTATGAACTGGAAGATTTCGGTCGCTGTTTTTTGACTTTCCTGGGATGCACGTGCAAATCGAAATCCCATAATTATAATACACCAGTTCTCACATGCCAGAACACCTAAGGAGGTTACACAACTGTATGCCATCATATGCCATCTCAGCTTCAGGATTTCGATCCGGATGCCATTGAACCAGCAGGCGCTTGACCGCTGCCTTTTGGTCTGCTTTGCTCTCATGCTTCAGTGAGGCCAGCTGTGCGCGGACCGAGTCCTGCGACCAGTTGGCGATTGCTCACGCATTTGAATGGAGCCAAAGCGTATATACTGGGGCTATATATGGATATTGGAAACGAAGATGGAAACTACTATAGTATGTTGGGATACGCGCTTGCTGGCCCCCCCCCACCCAAAACCCCCCCCCCCATGATCTGAGCCCCCTTCCTGCGTTGGGGGGGGTGTGCCCCTCCCCCTCTGTGGCTGTGGTTGGGGTTGGGTGGTGGTTGGGGTTGGGTGGGATGAAGAGACATCACTTGAGGTCTTCCCTTCTTTCCTGTGGGTGTGGGTGGGTGTGGGTCTCACAAATGGAGGAATTACATAAGCCATTTGTAAGCTTATATGGTATGGGGATGAGAGAAGATATTTATGTGATTAAACAGGATTAATTATCTGTAGATATGCAGATGGATCATCATTCCTATGCAGCCTGCGTAATCATTAAATGTTTCTGAGGCTTTCAGAAGGTCTTAGAAGGAGAAATAAGCTTCATGATGGAAAACTAGAAACGTTCAAATACCAACATCTACCACAGCCCGAAGAATCCTGCCGCAAAGTAGCCCATCCCTGTAAGTGCGCATGTTTTGAATCTTGTACAGAGAGTCAGTCCAAAACTAGCGAGGGTCAAGAAGATGGCGCGTTCCAGACACCCAATTCCTGTGACT